TTTTGCAGTAAGTCTACTGGCAAAATTCAGTTTCTCCCCAACAAAAAGACATTGGAATGGTGTTAAACACATACTTCGATATCTTCCAGGGACCATGGACATGGGTTTATTCTATTCCAATGAATCCAAATCAGAACTAATTGGTTACGCAGATGCCGGGTATTTATCAGATCCGCATAAAGCTCGATCAAAAACAAGCTATTTGTTTACATGTGGAGACACGGCAATATATTGGCGATCAATGAAGCAAACGTTGGTAGCCACTTCTTCAAATCATGCAGAAATAATAGCCATCCATGAAGCAAGTTGAGAGTGCGTCTGGTTGAGATCAATGACCCATCATATTCAGGAAATGTGTGGTTTTTCTTTGAAAAAGAATATACCAACCACAATGTACAAAGATAATGCTGCATGTATAGCTCAATTGAAAGGAGGATACATCAAAGGAGACCGGACAAAGCATATCTAACCAAAGTTCTTTTTCACGCATGATCTTCAACAAAATGGTGAGATAGAAGTTCAACAAATTCGTTCAAGTAATAATCTTGTTGATTTATTCACTAAGGCATTGCCAACATCAACGTTTGAGAAGTTGAGATACAAGATTGGAATGCGCCGTTTCCGAGATATCAAGTAAAGTTTTCATCAGGGGGAGCGAAATACGCGTTGTACTCTTTTCCTTAACTATGGTTTTATCCCAAGTTGAGTTTTCCTGGTAAGGTTTTTAACGAGGCAACATTCAAAGCGTATTATGAGATATGTGTACTCTTTTTCCTTCACTAGGCTTTTTTCCACTGGGTTTTTTCTATTAAGGTTTTAACGAGGCACATAATCTATGGATATCCAAGGGGGAGTGTTGTAAATCCATTGTATATGTGGATGATCCATTAGAGTTATCCAACAATTAATTGGATTAATGTATTAGTGTTTCCAATGTGATAAGATATCAAGGTGATATGAACCTTGATGATAACTATGTAAAATTTCAAGGTGACCTTTGACTATGATATCTCAACACTATAAATAGAAATATCATTCACCATTGTATGATATACTTGAATAAGAAAATTATCTCCTCTATCTTATACTTCTTGGCTTTTTCATCTTATATTCTGAGCTTTCTTTACAACAAAAAGGTCTTTAGAATTAAATGATATAAAAATTATTCCAAGAAGAAAATTAATGTGGTTATTGTACGTTTGAAGGGACAAAAATACATGTTTTCTTAAAATATTCTTTTATATATATTTTTTGTATAATAAAAGAATCATTGCTTAAAATAAAAATGTTTTTGAAGATTATTATTTATCACATTAAATATGAAGGGTTCATGTTCAACAATTTTAATATAAAAATATAAGATGAAATCAATGTTATTAAATAAATATTAAATTTTGTATGATATAATATAATTTTTGGAAAAAGGCCAAAAATACCCTTAAAGTATTGGAAATGGTACAAAATTACCCTCATCCACTTGTTGGCTCCAAAATACCCTTCTCACCCACCTATTGGGTCCAAAATACCCTTGTCATCCACCTTTTGGTTCAAAATTGATCACTTATTTAACGGTTTTATATTTGAACTATTTAAATATTTTTTTAAATACGTGGTGCTCAACTATATGTTGTAATTTAACTTATTAGTATAATTTATAAATCAATCCACTACCCACCCTATTAATAATTAAATCCCTCTAAATTAATGAACTCGTCACATTATTAATGCAAGCTACTGCCAATTGAGTGTTTTTAAAAATTATAGAAGTAAATTATCATACATTCAAGTGGTTAAATAAAAATCATCAATAAACTTAAAAGTCCGACTATGTTTACCTTAATTATTCTTACGTCTCAGTTATGTGATGTTACTTCATAGGTAAATTTTTTTTCAAAATAATATATTAAAGTGTTAAAACAAATCATACATATATATATATATATATATATATATATATATATATATATATATATATATATATATATATATATATATATGAATCAGTTCGGGATATATTACTTCTTTACCTTTAATCATAAATTTCTAATTCTATTTTGAAAGAATGTGTCCTCCTAAATAAGCGGCTCAACCTAAATTTAATTGGGGCTCCGATTCGGACTCGAATAATTTTGAATGTCATTTTCAGAAATCTATAATTTCATCGTGTTTTAGTAGTGTTCATGACAATTTTGATATTATAATTGGATTATTAATTGAGTGAGGTTTAGTTAGTAATAAGTGTGTAGTGGGTTGGTTTATAAATTATATTAATAAATTATAATTATAATCAATAATTGAACGCCAAGTATTTTATAAAATATTTAAAGAGTTTAATTTTAAAACAATTAAAAAAAATGGTCAATTTTGAAGACAAAGGTGGATGACAATGGTATTTTGGAGCCAATAGGTGGATGAAAAGGCATTTTGGAGCTAGTAGGTGGATGAAAGGTAATTTTGTACCATTTTCAATACTTTAAAGGTATTTTAGGCCCTTGTCCGTATAAATTTTATCAAATTTAGAGAGTAGTTTTCTAAAATTAGTTGACTTAGCTATGGTTATGATAGTTGCTAATATAATATAATCTTGATCTTTAAACTTTGAATAAGACATGTGTCGCTTATCTAGTGGTGCACATGACGAAATGGTGGAAAGGGGTAATGGAGGGGAGCCGAATCCTAAAATGGGAAGGAGGGTATATTACTCCTTCAGTTCCTATTTAATTGTCTCAATTTTAGATTTCACATCCCTTAAAAAACTAGACAGTATACCATTATATCCTTATTTAGTGTTAAGAATATTTTTTTTGACCAGAATGGTAAAATAACATATTTCACACTATGTTATTTTACCTTTTTGAACATTTTTACTCTTTTAACTTTCATACATTTTAATTAAAAAATGAAAAAAAGATCACTTCATTTTAAGATAAAAAAAAAGATATCAGACTTTTTAAATTTCTATCAATTTAGCATTACTTTTTGTTATTTTAAAGTCAAGTTTTTAATAAATGAACGTGAATTGATAGTTTTTAATAAATGAACGTGAATTGGTTTATTTTTTTTATTCAATATATATAAATTAATTATTTAATTTTTTTTATGTTGATCAAATTCATACTTTCAAGGCTAAAAATCTCTTGATGATAAAACAAGAAGAACAATGATTTTGTTAAGTGACAAGTAGTATAAAAGAACATTTATTTTTGGTAAAAATGATATTTAAATAAGAACAGAGAGAGTATGTAGGAACATTTAATTTTAGTAAGGACGATATATAAATCGGAACAAATGAAATATTCAATATATATCTAATATATTTTTCAAATGCTTAAATTTAATATATTCGAAGAGTAATGTAATACTCCCTTTATTCCATATTAATTATATCTTCGAGATGTTTTTCATTGTTCAAAATAGTTGAATTGTTTAAAGTCAAAGATAAATTTTTGATTTTTTTTATATTTGTCCTTTTTTTTAATGAAGTCTGATATTTTGTGTACAGCACTAATAATGTTGAATATGGTTTCACAAAAAGCAATAGTGAAAAATATAATTTAAATTACAATTTTAAATATTTTTTCTTAATAAGTGTGCATTGCCTCACAAATTCTATTTATAATATGAAATAAAGAGAGAAATAATACTCCTATTATTGATTATTTCATAAAATGTGTACCAAGTTGATAATGGACAAGTACCATTATTAAAACAAAAAAAGTTATTAATATTTGCATTTTTAAATAGGTAAATGTCAGTGAAAATCTAATATAAATTCGATAAAGCCAACAAACATTCCTCTTTTTCTTGTTCATGTACATATCTTAGACAAATTAATAAAGAAAACATGTCTTGTCTGTCAAATGAAATATAATAGTGTGATCACATTGAATTTGAACCTATTTTTCCCAAAGTTATCTAATACGAATCTCTTTTTCCCGTGAATCCTGATAAATCATTCATTTTATTTTATAGTTCTAGATGAAAATGCCACAAGAGTCTAAACACCTTTTTGTCTATGCCAATGCCAAATTGCTAACCAAAAATGGATTTAGCTTTCCGTCTCATTATGTTATTACTTGATCTCTGTTGATCTGATATATATTTTATTTTTTTAAATAAAAATATATTTTACTAAATTAATTTTATTAACGATGATTTACAATTTAAAAATTGACTACTTATTCAGGACTAAGGGTAATAAAAACAAAAAAAACCTTCATTAAAATAGATAAATAAAATTCTAACATCTATTTTTGATACATAGGTGAAGTAAAATAAATGTTAACTCACAGATGAATCAACTCCTTAAAATTGTAATAAAAATTTAAATTAATTTTCTCAAATAATTATAAAAAATTACTAGTTTTTTGGTGGATAAACTAAATAAAAACAATCTAATAGACTAGGGTATCATTTAAACAACAAATGTCAACCAATATCCCTTGAAATTTCTTTTCCTCTCAGCACGTCTCTCATGTTATATTATATTAATATGACTTAGAAACTATTGAATTTTAACTTCCTCAACTTCTGGCCCCACAACAAGATTCCACAATCATGGCCCACTTATCTTTTCTTGTTTCTCACCCTTTTCCATCCAAATTTACATTGACACAATTTAATTTAAATTAAATAATTTAATTTTAAACGTGTATTTAAATATAAAATTTTTATATCTTTTAAACTTCATTTTAACATGCGTCACAATAATTTAACAAATTCAATAATTACTATTAAAGAAAAATTTATCTGAATTTTGAAATTCTTATTCAAATTTACATGATATAATTTGAATTTTAAAAATTAAATAATTTAATTTTAAACATGTATTTAGAAATAAAATTTTTATATCTTTTAAACTTCATTTTAACATGCGTCACAATAATTTAACAAATTCAGTAATTACTCTTAAAAAAAATTATCTAAATTTCGAAATTAAAAAAGTGTCACCTAACTTGAAACATAGGAGTAACTTCTCTTATCTTATTTATACAGAGTCCCTCCTTACAAATGAATTGAATATATCTCTCAAACTACTTCAAGTACATCAAGAAAAACTAGCTAATTAGTTTTCTTTCTCATGGATTTAGGTCCAAATAATTCATGCGTGAATAATAATATTGATATGGAAACAAATGATGATGAAGAAAGTGGATGGACAACATATTTAGAAGATTTTTCAATGTAGCAAAGGGAAAATAACTATAGTTCATCATCTGATTATGATAATAATTCTTTTGGTAGCCCTTCTTTGCTTTCTGATGCTGCTTCACATGCTGCATGGAAACAAAATTCACAATCACCATTTCTCAAGAGATTGAATTTGAAGAAACAAAAAAGAAATAACAAAATTTCTGATCCTGATTTGGAAGATACTGCTAGCTCACCTGTCAATAGTCCAAAGGTCCATTACCAAAACTTTCTACTTTTTTTTTTCTATGGATCATATTCTTTTTCTTGTTTTTTTCTTGATCTATTTAGGTTCGTTTATCAATTAGGTATCAGTAGAAATATAAAGATAAAAGAAATAATTACATATGGATGGTTGTACATATTGAACAAATAATATGTCAAGATCATGTTGTTTATTGAGAATTACATAGGGGAGACATTGAAAGACTATATCATTTTCTTGTTATTGTGGAATTTGTCATATCAAGATGGATCTTTCTTTTACTAAAATGTTAGGAGTAGTAGGGGTTGTAAATCAGACAGTAGATAACTTGTTTTTTAAATTTATGGTACTTTAATTAGGTCAAATTTATTTTAAGATGGAACTCTTGGGTTAATCCAAACTTTGATCATCAGGAAATTACATTATATATATAGTGACAAGGATTATTTTTTGTTATGTATATATGATAAATATTTGTGTTGTTTAGTGAATAATCTGATTTTGTCACAATTTTATATTGAGATATGTCTTGTTTTGTTAATAACAGGTAAGTAATTTTAAGCAGATGGACATCAATTATAGGACAGAAAATAGTAGTGGACAATTCCAAATAATGAAGAGAGTTGAGAGAAGCAACAAATCTTTTGATGGAAAAGACAATAACGGGTATATAGAATTGAAGAAGAAAGGACTTTGCTTGGTACCTTGGTCCATGATAATCAACAACCATGGCTGATCTCCCTAACATCCCTCTCTCTTCATGTAAAAAATCTTCATCTTTTTGTTTTTAGGAGGGTGGGGGGGTGGGGGGGTGTTGTAAGAAATATAGACAGAATACATCGACAACCCTTAAAATTATCAATGAATTTTATTTAGATACTTAAATTAAAATATATTTTAATTGCACATTTGAACATGATAAAATATTTTTATTAGATATATATTTTCAATTCCAATTTTAGAAAATCATTTTTTTTGAGTATTTTCAAGCTTATATTACATAATAAGTTGATCATACAAAGTAAATGTATTATCTTCTTTCATTATATATATTAGCTTCAATGTGGGCATTCTTGAAGTCTTATGATTTATTGACAATACATATAATCTAGAGAAGTGATCAACTTATTTACGTAATAGGTGCTTCAGAATACATACAATTTATTTCTTTAAATTTTCATTTGGAAATATACTTAATAGGAAAACATTGTAAGGCATTCAGTTATAACATGTCGTAGTTCAAATATTTAAAAGAAATTTACTGATGAATTCAAAGCGCTATTCATGTATTCTGTCAAAAATATATAGTATATGAATTGTAAAAATGTAAGATTGAATGTCTCCATCATATCATTTGTCACAAAAGGAAAAAGAGAAAAAAGGAAGCAAAATTGTAAAATAGAGCTTCTTTTTTCTCTTTACACATGTATTATGTAAAGAAGCAGTAAAGCATTATTAATAGTAATGTTTTGTATATGAATTGTAATGTTATGTATTATTTTGGGAAGTTTGCTAATGACAGAAAATCTAAAATCATGTTTGATTAACAAATATTAATAGTAAGTTGTTAGTTTTCTATTTTTCTTGCTAGAAGATTGAGTTGGTTGAGAAAGATTTGATTCCAACATTTACTTATTTTATAACCATTAACAACAACAATTACTATATCTAATTCAATTAAGTTTATCTTTAATTATTCCTAAGAGATTGTAGGTTTTTTAAAGATTATTTCTTGTTAATCTAGGTCTATCTTTTTGTTCCCTTATAACACCTAATTAAAACACCAATATTAGAGCTGTCAATATGGCTAGCTCATCTCATTTGGGCTAATTCATATAGACTTTGACATTTTACGGGTTAGCCCATTCTTGGTGTGGGTTAGAAAACGGTCGGTTCAACTCACAAAAGGGCTACAGGCTTGTCGAGCCAGTTCACTTTTTTAAAAATTATATTTTCTTTAATTAAAAATATTATTATAAATATCGACAAAACAATATTACATAATGGTAATGTTTCTACTTGTCAATCAAATTTACAAATAAAATTATCTTTATAATATTTATTAAGTTTTTTTCAAGTAAAAGCATAAATATCTAAATAGAAATATCAACCTAATTGCTTTGAGTTTGGACGATTTAATTTTAAATTTTAATATTATATTATATTTTTAATTAATTTTTATTAGTCCAGGACTGACTTTACTGATATTTCTCAAAAACCCATAAATTAGCAGACTTATTCAAATTGGACTAAAAATCTTTTTTTTCTTAAATGTACTCCAAAAATCTTAATTCAAACCTATTAAATCCAAATTAGACCAGATCTACCCAACAAACCTAGCTCATATTAAGGACTCTAACCAATATGGTCAATTACACACTTAGGGATTGAATTTTATCCTGTGGTGAGCTTTATGGATGCAACTACTTGTTCAATTAGTCTGATTTAATTAGTGTCATTATTGTTTTTGGAGGAGAATACGAGGCACTCCCTATTAAAACTATTGACAAGGAACAAACCAATATGATGAGTACTCTTTAGTCAATTATTTTAGTTATTATATTGTGTTTTTCAAAAGTTAATTTGATTAATTTGAAAGTTAAAATAGATTATATTTATTTAATTTTAAAATAATAATCTACATATTCAAAAATTTTATAAAAATTATTATAAAATTATAATTTTTTTATATAGATATGATAAAAAAAATATATTTTAAAATATTAGCTAAAATTTATATTGTTTAACTCTTAAAATGGAAACTACGATGACTAAAAGAAATATAGAGAGTAACTAGTTTGACCAAGCTTCTGTAATATTTTAAGTGTGTTATTTCTCAAAAGTTTGTTCCTCATGAAAATACTTTTAAAAAAAAACATTTTTCAAAATAAGTTGATTTTAGAAGAGTATCCAAACATTCTAGCAATAACTTTGACCAAGAAGCTATAAAACTACTTTCTAGTTCAATTTCATAGATACTTAATAGACAATTAATTGTCCTTCAATCATACTTTTTCGGTCTCAAATTATGTGTTATAATTTTTTTGAGCAATTTTCATATATAATAAATATAAAAATCATATTATATGTTATAGTTGTAGTTTGCATAATTGAGCTTCATAACAAATTTTATGTTTGCTATGAAACTTTTGATTTGTATAACTCGCTATAAACATCCAATTTTATACAAATTGTTCAGTTTTATATAAATATATTTATACATTGTAATTTGTATAATAAAATCTGCATTTGTATAATTATAAGTGTATAAAACGATAATATATGTATTTATATTTGTATATATACTTTTCTTTTGTTTTATACAACACAAACACATTTTATACTGGATTGTATGGAATGACTAATTATATACCGAGAATGACTAATTGTATACCGAATCAGATGATAAAAAATGAATGTTTGTTACAAATTACAATTAAAATAAACCATGGCTATAACATTTACTTTGAATTAATAATTTGCTATTTTCATACAATTTTCTCTTCTTTTTATACCTACGTAAAATACTACTTCCTCCTTCACTTTTATTTGTCCACTATACTAAAAAATATTTTCATCTTGTCATTTTCAACCTATTAAACGGAAAAGGGCCTAAAATACCCTCAAAGTATTGGAAATGGTAAAAAATTACCCTTCATCCACCTATTGGTTCCAAAATGCGCTTCTCATCCATCTATTGGCTCCAAAATGCCCTTATCATCCACCTTTGTGTTCAAAATTGATCACTTATTTAGCGATTTTAAAATTAATTTTTTTAAATATTTTTAAAAATATTTCACACTGATTTAATTTATTAATATAATTAGTAATGAGTGGGTAGTGGATTGATTTATAAATCATACTAATAAGTTAAATTATATCAAATAGTTGAGTGCCAAATATTTTTTTTTAAAAAAATATAAATAGTTTAAATTTAAAACCGTTAAATAAGTGATTAATAGGTGGATGAAAAAGATATTTTGGAGCCAATAGGTGGATGAAGAGTAATTTTATACCATTTTCAATAAGGTCTTTTTACGCCTATTAAAAAAAGGGAAAATTGTATATAATAGCAAATTAATAAATTAAAATAAATGGAGTAGCTAGAGTTTGATTTAATTGTGCTCCATAACAAACGTTAGCTAAAGTTTGTCAGGCGTCTCTCTCCCAAAAGTCTTGATTGCCACTCTCCATTCTCGCTCGCCTCTCTCGCTTTTATACACAGAAGTGTATAAATTTTGTTTCCGTTTTGTATAAAGCGAGAGAAAATTGTATATAAACATGCAAAAATATATATCTTCGTTTTATACACTTAATTATACAATTTACAAACATTTTACTTCAAATATTGCAGAGAAAAAGGCCAACGAATTATACAATTGCGAATTATACAATTGCAGTGAAATACAATTTTCTCTAACTTTATACAACAGAAGTGTATATATTGTGTTTCTGTTTTTGTATAAAGCGAGAGAAAAACATATATCTTCTTGCTATACACTTATAATTATGCAATATACATACATTTTAATTCGATTCAACTTTATGCAAAACAAATTTTATAAAAATATTGCAGCGAAATAGACAGCGAATTATACAATTGTGCATTATACAATCGCAGTGAAATATGATAGCGAATTATACAATTACAGCAAAATAGGCCAACGAATTATACAATTTAGGCCAGTGAATTATACAATTGTATATATATAACTAATTATACAGTTTATGTTTGCTATGGAGCGCAATTATACAAACTTTGCTATAGCATACAAATATAAATTTTTTGTTTTGCTAAATGTGAAAGTTGCCCTTAAAAAAACGTATTTGTTACATATTTAACTCTAGTCAACATTAATTACTATTTCTCGAATAATTTTTCTTTTAACACCTAAAACTGAAAATCAACCACTACAAATATTGCGATTCATATTAATCATTGTCTTCCATTGAACGCAAAATCCGAAGTAAACCCGAAAAGAAACAAAGAAAGTAAATAGAGAGGGTTTTAATGGTTTTACTTTTCATTGATATTTGATCATCATAACTTTATTCCATTATCGGGGTACTTGTTATATTCTAACTTCAAGAATAATTACTATCAAGAATAAAATAATAAAAAATAATTAATTTTATCTTACACTTTTAAAACAACAAATAATTTTAAAAAATTACTTTTTTAAAAATGATGATAGATAATTTCATAGGAAACGCTCGGAGTAATTATATTTCCCATTTCAATTTGTATTTTACTTTTTTATTTTGAAACCTAATTTGCATAAAAATTTGACCAAACATCTTAAATGCTTTTTTTTTTTTTTTTATAGCTGGTGAATATGTAAAATTTTAATAATCTAGTTTGAATTTCATACACCAATCCCCCTAGACCAACCATATTTCCCTACTTTATAGGAGCAAGGAAAAAAGTGCAATTACAACACAGCTCTTTTATTTTTGTCTTGCGTTATTTCAATTTTATTTCTTATATTATTTGACTACAAATATTAAATCTTCAATTAATTAAAAAATATGGATCAAATATTAATTATTCCCAATATTTGATGCGCCGGAGAAATTACTGAGTAGGCAATGCTTATAGTAGCGGAATTTATCTATTCCTTTTAATTAAACTTTTTCAATAATAATTATGTTAAATGTTTAACATCGATTAATTTG